TGTTTCCATTCCTCCTCCTTTCCAAACCCTTCTGAACTTTTTCCTTGAGTAAATTCTGCCCTTTTTGGTTGCAAATGGTAGATTCTTCTAAGATGTGTATATCTCCTTAGTGGTGGTGTTCCCCTTATGGACCTGTCCATTGTTTAGCTGAAGATTGAGCCAGAGGGGGTGAGTTTGGTTACAAACCTAAAGGCCCATTGTCTCAGGGTTCATCAGTCTCTATCATACCAGCAAATCTGGTCTCTTTATTGATTTTAGGATTTATTCCACAGTTTTCTCCCACTCTGTCCAGGACCTTCTAATGTGATCCTTTTCAGAGCAGGTGGTCGTGGTAGCCAGGCGCCATCTAGTTGTGGTTGCAGGGTCATGGAGACTGATATTTGAGGTGGTCTATTAGTCCACTGGACTAATGGTGTCCAAGTGTATTTGGTCTTCATCTCTCTTCTTCCCTCTGAACAGGGAGGAATCACTGTACCTTAGATGGTCACTCACAAGTTTTTAAAAACCTATATCCACTTTTAAATGCACTTTCCCCATTCCCTGATAACTTCAAAGAGATCCAAAATAAGAAGGCAAAGAAAAGGAAGACATCCCCCAAACTAGAGTGAATACCATAACTAAAACAAAGCTTTTATCATTAGTAGTAGTAGTAGTAGTAGTAGTATTGCATGGGTTCTTGTCACTTCTGATATGCCAAGGGTCATGCCATGGCGTTGATCAAGCTGTACAGAAGAAGACTGAAGATGGAAACAATTTCTAGTTCCACAGCCGTTGATGACTTCTTTGATTTCCTTTGAGTGAGAAGTGTTTAGTCTTAGCTTCCTCGTCGATCAATTGAAAACATCCCATGCTCTACATTCCTTATGATTTAGTGAGAGAATAATATCATGGAAAGCTCTTTAAAGGTATAAAGTGCTTCACAGATCCCAAGAGACTTTAGAAAATGGGGCCGGAAACAATGCAATTAAAACACAGACACTGTTGACACAAGGCTTTGTACAAATGTGAGGAGTACTTTTCAAAAATAAAATAATCTCTACTTTCTAAGTGGAAGACAGGTGGGGGGGGGGGTTGGTTCTGTCTTGAGGTATGAGAGAAAGCTTATTTGTTTTCATCCCCATCTAGCCCTAAGTATGAAATACCGGGTCTCCGGGTGGTGCAAAAGGTTCAAAACCAGCCACAGGCATCTCAGAAGACAGACTTGGCTATCTGCTATAGAAAGGTGACAACTCTGACAACTTGATAGAGTCTGTCTGCTCCACACATCTAGAGGGGCCCTAGCCAGAATCCAGTTGAGGGCAACTAGCCACAGCAACAAGTACTGGCCTCATTTCCTAGTCAGTCCATCCTTAGCTATTCCTTCGTGAGCGGCAGATTGAATCCCATCAACATGCACAATTTAGAACTGCCCTTGAAGACCCCCTAAGAGCTTCAAGTCCTTCCAAGGTGGTATGCAGGCCATTTGCTAAAGTAACCCACCATATGGATGTTATTATTCTCTCTCAGTGCTCCCAGGAAACCTATTTGCTTATGAGAGCATTTCACAGTTGGGAAAGCCTAAGGAGGGTGAATTTTCATTCTCTTTGAGACTGCCAACCCCCTCAGATAACACCAGGCATAATTAACATCACATACGACTCCCAAATCTTTATGAAAACTCAGAAAGTCTCTTCCCTGGGGGAACTCATCTCAGCATCTCACTTTCTTCTCTTATTTGAAAAAGTCAAATAATCAAATAACCTCCCTGTTAAAGGAGAGGGGCACATCTGTTCAATTAGATTTTCCAGGCATTCACCTGGCAGGCCTATGCAAGTTAATTATTTACAATTCTTCTTCATCTAAGAATTTGACCATAAGGGTCGATTAAGTAAAATTTCAATTGACCAAAGCTAGCTCAACTAACAAGAACACTCACTAAACTAGAATATTTTGGGTTTCACTCCACATTTAAAAAGAAATGGCAACTCACAGAAACCAAATGCTGATAGGAGCTTTGGGGTCGCTATTTAAAAAAGCTACAAGGTGATATCTTCTGGTCAGAATTTGTCTTGAAAACCTACATTTTGAACCAACAAATGAAGACATATTGAGTGTTTACTATACCAATTTAAGCACTGGGGATGCAGTAAGGGAAACAACAAAAAACCCTAACTTCAGAGAGCTTGCCTCCTGGTGGAAGAAGACAAACAATAAACATATACTGCAATGAGTTCACATACCAATAAGTGCAGTAGAGTATTATTAGAATGACTTACAGTTAGAGAAGGAGCCCTGGTGGTGTAGTGGTTACGCATTGGGCTGCTAACTGGAAGGTCAGCAGTTTGAAACCACCAGCAGCTCCTCGGGAGAAAGCAAGACAGGGCGTTCTACTCCTGTAAAGACTTACAGTCTTGGCAACTCACTGGGGAAGTTCTACCTTCTCCAATTGGGTCACTCTGAGTCCATATCCACATCGACTAGGTGGCAGTGAGTTTGGTTTGAATACAGTTAAAGAGGGCTGTTTTAACTGGGAGCTGCAGGTTGGATGGTACCTGCAGGAAAGCGTCTTTAGGGGAGAGATCTTTTCATTGCTTGGAGAAAGGAGCCCTGGTGGCTTAGTGGGTTATGAGTTGAGGGCTGCTAACCACAAGGTCAGCAGCTTGGAAACACCATCTGCTCCTTGGGAGAAAGATGAAGCTTTCTGCTCCCGTAAAGACTGATAGCCTTAGAAAGCAATCCCCGAGTAGTTCTTCTCTGTCCCTTGAGTTGCTATGAGTCAGAATTGACTCAACAGCAGTGAGTTAGGATTTGGGGGGATTTAATAAGAATAAGCAGCCATATGAAGATGCTGTGGAAGAGTATTCCAAACAAAAGGAATGACGAGCCCTGAAACAGGAAACATTCTAGCATATTTACAACATAGAAAGACCAGTATAGCTGAAGCTCAGGGAATGAGGAGGGAGCAATTGTAGGGTTTTGATCTCAAGGAAATTTGGGTTGTATTTTGGTTGTAATGGGAAGCCAGTGGAAAGTTTCAAACAGAGAAGTGACGTGATCTCATTTCCATTTTAGAAAGAGCACTCTACTTCTGAGTGGAGAATGGAGTGAATGGAAGAAAAGGGAAGCAGAGACGGTCAGATTACAATGAAACCAAAGGGGCTTGGTTTGGATTGCTTTCATTTTCTAAGTGGTCAGATTTTGTTCATAAGACAGGGTTTCACGGCAAAGCAACGGGGTGGGGGGTGGGAGGTGGGGGGTGGGGACAGAGCAGGGAGCT